AATCTCAATCATGTTTCCCGAGTTTCCTCTGGATTTGAGAGTCAAATAAACCTCACTTAACCTCATTCAAACCTTCCTGATCTGGACTTGTGAAACCAGGTCTGGCTTCTCATCTTGGCTTCATTTCTTTGGGAGTTCAACTCCAGAAATGAATAACCCAGGTCTCCTAAGACCCACACATGGATTTCTCCAAGGTCGGGCGGAAAGTGGAATGAATCTAAATAAACTCACTGCATCAGGGTACAACCATGAAGTTTATTTTACATTTATTTTGAAACCATAAATCACAAGTTTCAAATACTTGGATTAGCTTTTCCTGAAAACACAGCTTCATTTGTTTAAATAACATAGACCAGTATGATAACAGTTTTGTAAAATATTATTGATGGACAATAAATACATGCATATTGTCCAGGTTATCCATAGATCAGACACCCAGAGGGTATTAGATGTGCAATACCTCCCAAGAAGGAGGAACCCAAGGGCGGGGAGAACTCTGAGAATCCCTTACAGAGTGACCACAGGGGAAGGAGAAAGGGAAGGAGGGATATTGAAAGAGTTTACCAAAATCATCACAGAGTCCTCAGGCTAGGGACACCTACCACAGAAGACCTGCCCTTCTGAGAAAGGACATATTGTAGTGCCCCTGCCACACTCCATAGCTAAGAACAGAACACAAGAATTAAAATACAGCAGGTGGCTGGACATTTCATTCCCTGTAGTCAGAGATATGAAACGCTCTCACCGCCACAGATGGAGAGATGGATGATGGGTGCCAACATAGGTAGATGATAGGCAGGCAGGTAGGATTAGAAAGGACAAATTTATAATATTCATTTATCTGGAAGGGATTGTGAGCCATGCATGGAGGTTTCCTTTAGCATTTTTGTTTCTTAAAATTTCTTCACTTTTGTATGTATACCTAAGCAAATCTGGTTTAAGATTTCTACAAATATTCCTTTTTCAAAGTAACTCCTTTCTTCATTTCATATTAGGAGATACACATCACAATATGCATTGTGTGTGTGTGTGTGTGTGTGTGTGTGTGTGAGGGGGGCGGTCCTTGCTCGGGCAAATTTGCACTAAGCTTTCTGATTCTTTTTCAACTTTTCCATTTTCTCCTTCTCCCAGAAAATGCACTAGAAACTCCTCTTTGGGAAAGGAAGCAAGTTTTTTTTTTTTTTTTTTTTTTTACAGTCTGTCCACATTCCTTATCTAACATTTCTAACAAATCTTATCAGCCACTGGCTTCTTATTGCATTAAAAGGTCAAACACTGATCCATTTGGAGGGGATGCACCACCGTTTAGGACCTTATAAGATTCAAAATAAATTATTGGTGCTCTAAGAGATTTATAAATCAAGAATGCTAGTCTATAATACAAGTTAATTTCATTTTTGTGGACATTTTGGTTACAGAAACTATATCAGGTATACCTCTCTGACAAACATACAAATTCAAGTCCACCTTGACACCCAGAACATGACCTTATTTGAAAACAGTGTATTTGCATAGTGATTAGTTAAGACGAGCTCACATTGGACCAAGGTGGACCCTAATCTAATGACTGGTGTCCTGTTGAAATGACCAGGTGCACAGAGGAGACACACAGAGGAGGCCATATGAAGAGGTGACAGAGCCTGGAGTGATGTGTCCATAAGACAAGGAACACTGAAGATTGCCTAAAAACACTAGGAACAAGGAGGGGACGAGGAGGAATCCCCCCTTCATACTTTCCAAGGGAGCATGACCCTGGCCCATCTTGATATCCAGGATATCCAGTCTCCAGAGCACTGAGAGAATAAACTCCCACTCCTTCAAGCACCTAGCTTGCAGCACTTTATTCTTAGAGCTTTGGGAAAATACACAGAAATCAGGGTCCCGAGCTACATGGTGAAGGGCATGTGAACTTGTGATTCTAGGGTCATTGTGCATCCTTCTTGTGTCCCTGGCAGCAAAGTCCATTGGCAGTGGGACACTCTAAAGGACAGTTTGTAGCTCTTGAGCTCCTTTGAGGAATGACCCTCTTTGCCAACATTCCAAAGCCAAGAGTCATGTTCTAGGATTTTTGATCTCTGTAGAAAATGTACAAATAGTATGCATGGTGACTCCAGGTCCCCCCCAAAGCTAGGATGTCCATTCCTACTCATCAGTTGCTTCTACTTTCTCAGTAGAGGAAACCCCTCAATAAATGCAAGGCCCTGCTTAGAGGAGAGAGTAAATGAGATGAACTGGGGCTTTGTTTTCAATGTATTCCAATAGTTTATGATTATGTACACAACAAACCAATCTAAAGACAGTTTTGAGGATGGATCATTATTTATTGCCTATCTCTCTCTCTGTGGGAAATTAGCCATTTCTTATTATAAGGGGAGACACCAGGTATGGAGCAGTCCTTGCAGGGTGGGGCAAGTCTTGGAAGTAGGCTTTGGAGGGAATGACTGCAGCTGCCTTCAGACTACAGACCAAGGGGCCAGATTCTGCCACCCCGGGATCAGTGTCTGCACAAAATGGCATGCATTTCTGGTAATTCCCAAACCCAAAAGCTGTCAGTCACGCTGAAGAATGGAGGTAACACTGAGGGTCTTAATAAGGATGAATGGGAATGGAGAGATTGAACTGGAACAGTAGGCTCCAGCCTGGGGAACCTTGGTAGGGTGCAGAGGAGAGGAACCACATCCAGAAATAAGAGGAGAGCCAAGTGTGAGGGCAGGTGTGGGTGTCCCCTGCAAGACTCACTTTGAAATTCAATTGCCTTGTGACAGTGTTGAGAGGTTGAACCTTTATGAAGTGAGTAAATAGATTACTAGACTAATGTCAGTGTCACAGGTTGGGTTATCTCCAGAGTGGGTTTGTGATAAATTCAGGTTCCTCTTGCCTTCTCTGTCTGGCTCAGGTGTGCTTGCCTTCCCTTTCTGTCATGTTCTATGAAGCAGAAAGTTCCCCGCCAGATGCTGGCGCCATGCTCTTGGACTTACCAGCCTCCAGAATTGTGAGCCAAATAAATGTCCGTTGTTCATCAATTACCCAGTCGGTGATATTCTCTTATGCAGCAGAAAATGGGCTCAGACAGGGAGGGGATGAATGGGGAATAGGCCCAGTCATTCTCAGAAGGACCCAGTGGTCCTTCTGTAATTCAGAATATACTTACAGTGACTGTTTCCTTGAGATTTATCTTCTGTCCCCTGCTCTGATTTTTTTTTTTTCATTTTTTCCTGGTAGGTGCAGATAATGGCAAATGGGTGTATGCTGTGGTTTAGCAGGATTCCCAGGGACTGATATTCTCAAAGATCTTTGTTTTCTGCAGCTATCTTACTTCATCTGTTTTATAGGTCTCATTACCTGAATGTCTGCTGCCACTTTACAGAAGCTTGGTCTAAGTTCTGGGCTGCAAAGTGATAAGTACATCCCTGTAATTCCAAAATAAATGGGAAAATAAGTAGAGCCATAATAGGGAGATTAAGAGTGTGTCTCACATAGACCAGAGTGGTTTGGAAAAGTCATTGAGATGACATATGGACACTACTCAAGAGGGCCAGGTTCTGATAAACCCACTGTTAAGTAGAAAATTCACAAATTGAAAATGCACTTAAAACGCCTAACCCCCTAAGCATCTCAGCTGAGCAACATAGCTAACTGGGAGCTGTATTGCTGCTGCCCAGCCTCATGAGAGAGTATATCTGCAGATCATGAGCCTGGGAAAAGTTCCAAATTCAAAATTCAAAGTACAGCTTCAACTGAATGCAGATCTCTTTCACACCACCATAAAGTTGAAAAAAAAATTGTAAGTCAAATCATCCTAAGTCAGGGACCATCTGTATATGAAGACTGTAGTAGGTTGGTTCAGTTGGGAAAGAGAAACCACACAGTAGATTAGAGAGAAAATTTTTATGTAAAATTTATTAACTATGATAACTTTATAATTAATAGATGTATGGGAACTGTGGTCCCAAGGGCTAAGGGAGGGCATCCCAGGAACAAGGCACTTGGATGGGATTCAGATCCTACTGGGAAAGGTGTGTATCTGGACACTAGAAAGCAGAGGAGGTGGGTTAGCAGACTGGAGCTGGTCTAGAGTTGCTAGAAAGAGCATCTTCTGGAAGGCAGGCAGGGTCAGAGCTCAGCAATCCCTGGTGCAGTGGAAGCCTGGGCTCCAGGGGCCTCAGGAGGAGCTAGCTGCATGCAGGGGAAGGGGTCATGGCTTCACAGGGAGGACTACTACTTCGGACCCCAAGGGCATAGACATGCTATACCTGGGCCATGCTGGGGCTTTCTGTTGGCAGATTATCACACGAACCTGAAGCTGCAGGGTTGCAAAGGGATCCCTTTCAGGAATCGTGGCAAAGCCAGGCTCCACCAGAAATCCTCACCCTCACATGACTGTCTCTGGAGGATCCCAAGAAAACTTTATCCTTCAGTGTCCCTTCTGCCCCATCTCTTCAGAGAGCTCAACCTAGTGCTCACTTTAAAGGAGAAATGTTTAAAGAGCAGACATGAAAATAATTTGATCTATGTATACAATATAGAATGATCAAATCTGGGTAATTAGCATATTTATTTTTTGGATACTAGGGGTTGAACCCAGGGGCACCTAATCACTGTTCCACATTTCTAGCACTTTTTAATTTTTTTAAATTTTGAGACAGGGTGTCCCTGAGTTACTTCAGTCCTCACTAAGTTGCTGAGGCTGGCTTTGAACACGCAATCCTCTTGCCTCAGCCTCCCTAGCCACTGGGATTATAGGCGTGTACCACCATACCCAGCTAGTATATCGATTTCAAACATGTGCTTGGTTACAAGCAACCAGTATTATGCTTTCTCTTTGTGAATATGAATGCATTTAAACTACTTGGAATAGATTTAAAAGTTAGGTAGCCATGTTAGTATTTGTTGTGGAATTTATTGTTGTATATTATTTAACTAACCACAAAGTTGAGAAAAGGTGTGTGAAAATTTTCTAATTCCTGTTTATCATCTTTATTTCATTTTTTTTTGTCTAGGTCTTATACAATATATTAATTGCCTTCACAAAGATGCATAAATTTGAAGACATAGAACCTGTCGACATTTTGGCTGGATGTGCCCGATTCATCATTGTGGGGTGTGGGGGAGTATTTTTTGGCATCATTTTTGGATTTATTTCTGCGTTTATCACACGTTTCACTCAGAATATCTCTGCAATCGAACCGCTCATCGTCTTCATGTTCAGCTATCTGTCTTACTTAGCTGCAGAAACACTCTATCTCTCTGGCATCCTGGCGTGAGTACAATCCAAGTACCGAGTCTCCAAGTCAAACAGAGAAAGTTTAGGACCACAGAGGGTGAACCAAGCATCTGGAAAAGGCGTGACTTCTGATATTACTCCCCAAAGGTCTTGCAAGATGTAGGATATTTTTTAAAAAACTTTTGTGAGATCTGATTCAGGTCTTTTGCCAAACAAATATTGTCTCCAACATTTGCATTTGTTCCCTCGATTTGCTTGAGGAGAGCAATTATCATACCAATTTAGGACTCACAGAAAATCTTGTCCAGAGAAAAGCTAGGGGGAAGTTCAAGGTTAAAATCTATCTTTGTAGTTTTTAAGATTTTCTTTGAAAAATTAATTATAAAGTGGAAGGGGGCCATGCCACAAAGAGCTTCCAGTCCTGGGCTCTGCTCTCTGTGGTTCCCTTCAAATCACATCAGAGTTCCATGACACTTCAGCATGGAATGCCATTATGCAGATGGGATAAGACTGGAAATACAGACTTCTTTGTTCTGATGAAGACATTTTTGAGGTGTTTACCCTCGTGTTCCTTGTAAACTTAATATGCTTTTCTGAGACTGAGTCTTCTCAATTTGGCTCACTGTAATTGATCATGTGCTTTTCTCTATGACATTGTCCTCATATCTAACTCTTCAAGCAGAGCTATTTAATTCTATTGTGTAGGGATACCTATAAATATAACAGCGTAGACGCTAAGCATTTATCCTTTCCCCACTCTAAAAAAATGACAAAAGCCATCAAGAGAAGGCAAAGTTCTTTCATTTCCCCATATTTGCTAAATGACTGTAGAACAGAAGCATTTGAAATGAAAACTTGTCATAAAAGAATTGTAAGACCTTAATTTGCTTGAGTGTAAGAAATCAGGGCCTCCCTGAGTTATTCTGTCTGTCCAACTTAAGTGGGATTTATTTTGGTTTAAGGCAGAGTAAAGCAGACGGTGAAGGTTGAGACCGACAAAGCTCTCAATGAGGGTAGGAAGGTAGAGAAATCTTCTGCTTCTTGTTCTCTGGCACGAGTTTCCCTCCATTTTGTTATGTGAAAGCCATGCCATACCCACTTTCTCTACCACATTCACCTTCCCTTGTATCACCGCCCCCGCACCCCGCCTTCCAGAGGGGAGAGAGAGAAAATGTGTGGAAGATCTGTAGGCAGAGGGGTTGCCTTTTCTGGATAAAGACTTGCTTCAAGGATCTGTAGCTTTGCCAGTGGGGAGGACATTTTGTGGAGAAGTAAAACTTGTTGCTTCACTATGAGACTCTGCTCCCATTGTAGAATCACAGCCTGTGCCGTGACAATGAAAAAGTATGTGGAAGAAAATGTGTCCCAGACGTCCTACACGACCATCAAGTACTTCATGAAGATGCTGAGCAGTGTCAGCGAGACCTTGATCTTCATCTTCATGGGCGTGTCCACCATTGGGAAGAACCATGAGTGGAACTGGGCCTTCATCTGCTTCACTCTGGTTTTCTGCCAGATCTGGAGAGCCATCAGTAAGAAACAGCAGGGACCCAAAGACTCCTACCCAGCTTGTTGGTTTTTCTTTTTCTTCTTTTTTATTTTCTAGTTCTCTTTATTCCCTTCTGCCCTATAAAACCGTAAGCAGTGAGTTGGGGTTAATTGGTTTTATTCGTAGGGGAGGGTTGGCACCTTGTAGTGACCAAGAATGTTTTATGTTTGTTCCCTCCATTAGCTCAAAGTTATGAGTGGCTGGCAGATAAGGTTCTGCACTGAAGCTGGGAGGAAGCAAAGAATATTTTCTCTTTTAATTGAAGACTGAACTTTTACATCTACACATTTAAATATAGCTCAGTAAATGTATCCCTTGCACTTCACTTCTTTGCCAATTTTTACCCTCTTGCACCTTAAATCAGATATAGATTATAAACTGTGGGTATTTACACATTTGTTACAGGATAAGTGAGAACTTCAAAATTGTGTAAGGCAAATACACTCACATATCCCTCTAAATAGCACAGTTAGTTTGAGGGTTTAGTGCATGGGTATCTAGCAAAGAAAGGGCCAAGAAGTGAATTTTTATTTTAAAAAGAACTCAATGTGAATTAGTAAGGACAACTATAAATTAAATGATCTCCCCCTTGTAAAGGGTGCACAATTTTTGAAATTGAGATTCAATGATTGCTGATTTATCTTGTACATTTATGTTTCAGGAACCAGAAAAAATACATTAGGCACTGAGCTACAATATACGTGTTTCTATTTGATTAGAAACATTATATTTTCTACTGACTTCGACTAATCTTTTAAAATCAATTACTCAGAGAAATTAGGAGATGTGGTTGAGAACTTACATTGAATGTGTCAATTTCAAATTAATTTAGGATGGCTTTTAGGATCTAGGAAAGAATAATAAAAAGGCAGAAATATTAAAATATTCATAAGGACAGTGGGATATGTATGCCTACTGGGTCCCTGGTGGAAAAACAATTAAAGAAACTTTGATATACATTCAAATCTGAAATCAAATCCCGTCATGGTTATTCACAAGTCATTTGAACTTGGCAGACATTTATCTATTCAAAAATCTTCTTCCACCACCCAAAATTTTAGATGTCTTTCAGTTCCAATATTCTACAAATCTTCAGGCAAGTAGAACTAATATCAAAAGAAATAATATTAGAGAGCTTCACCCCAACCAACAAGAAGATTAATATTGTGGCTATATCAATATTGTTTACCCTTAGTGACCATCTAGCCCAACTCCATAATCTTATAATTGAGAGAACTCATGGGGCCGCCATTGATGGAGGGACCAGTTGACCACATTCCAGTGATTGACAGAGCAGGCGTCAGAATCCAGTTCTCCCACTCATTGCTTATTCTCTTTCCATCCTGACTCATTATTGCTAATAGTAATGATGATGAGAGTTTATAGGCTCTTGAAGGCTTGGAAATTCAAGGCCTCATTTTATGTGATTTATGGATATTAAGTTTATTTAATCTTTTTGCCTGACTTCTGAGGTAAATATACTTGGCTCCCTATATCCTTGCCTTCGGCATCCATAGATTCAACCAATCACAGATCAATCATAGTAGAAAAAGAAAAAACCTTCCTGTACCCAACATGTGCAGACTTTTTTTCCTAATCCCTAAAAAATATAGCATAACATCTATTGATAGAGCACTGATATTTTATTAGGTATTATAGATGATCTAGAGAAGATTTAAAGTATCCAGGAGAGTGTGCCTCATTTCCATGCGAGTGCCATACCATTTGATATGAGGGACTTGAGTATCCATGGAATTTGGTCTCTGTGGGGGGCCCAGAACTAAGGGATGGCTCTCATCTCTATTATGCAGATGAAGATTCTGGGGGCTTGAAATGACGAATAACCTTGCTCAAGTTCACATGACTGGCATATAGAGAAACCAGTACAAACAAAACAAAAGGAAACCTTTGAATTCTTCTGTCTTTTATATTAACCCTGTTAACAGAGGCTGTAAAGCCTGTGTGGTTGGAGGTCCATGAGTATGTGGAGAGATTCATTCTACTGAAATAAAGCCTCTTCTTTCATTAGTGACAGCTTTTTGGGAGGAACCTTTTCCACCAGGAACCAGCACATTGGTGGTGGCTAAGTCCTGTGGGACACGTTGGGAGGCAGAATCAGTGTAGTAGAAAACACTTTTATGTCCAGACACATTGCCCTAACTTCCAACTTCGGCTTAAGAAACTCTGGCAAAAGAGTTCCCAGCCCCAGCCCTTGGGAGCCCCCTCACTTGTTGCATTGAACCCCAAAATGAGCAGAGCCAACCAGAAAACATTGGCTCAGCTTTAGAGGTCACAGTTACTAGAAAGCAGAGAACTCTCCTCACACTGAAATCCCAGACCTCTTTTGGGAAGCCAATGATGATATGAGATAAACATTTTTTTTTCCAAATAATATCCTTGCTTTAACTAATTTTGAAAGGCAGAGAAATCATTATGAATATAGCTTAAAAATATCCCCTTACACACCCACAAAAATTAAGATTCTATTATTTTATTTTATTTTGGGGGTTACCAAGGATTGAACACGGGGCGCTTGATCACTGAGCCACATCCCCAGCCCTGTTTTGTATTAATCTAGAGATAGGGTCTCAAATGTGTTGTGTAGCACCTCGCTTTTGCAAAGGTTGCCTTTGAACTTGCGATCCTCCTTTCTCAGCCTCCTGAGCCACTGGGATTACAAGTGTGCACCACTCTGCCCAGCAAGATTCTGTTATTTTAAACACACATGTGCAAACTACACGTGGCAGGAAGCCACCAGCAAAGACTTCCAAGTTGAGGCACTGTGGTCTCCCCAGCCAACAAGTGAAGGGCCCTCAGAGGGTTCTCTTTGGGAAGGGCGCTCCTGGGTGTGCTGGAATCTGGTTGCCTTGTTGGAGGGCAGGCAGGGAGACCTCAGCTTCAGCCCACCAGCATTTGATCTCCACCCATTTGCGGCTCCTGCTCTAATATGTATCTCCCCCTTTCTAGGCGTATTTGCCCTCTTCTATGTCAGTAACCAGTTTCGGACTTTCCCCTTCTCCATCAAGGACCAGTGCATAATTTTCTACAGTGGTGTTCGAGGAGCTGGAAGTTTTTCACTAGCATTTCTGCTTCCTCTGTCTCTTTTTCCTAGGAAGAAATTATTTGTCACTGCTACACTGGTAGTTATATATTTTACTGCATTCATTCAGGTTGGTAGATTTCCTCAATGTTTAATGTAAATAGATCTCTTCAGACTGTGTATCTAATTTTTAAAATGCAAATACAGGAAACTCATCTGATTAGATTTCTGTTCCATACCCAAACAAAATTCCCCAAAATGTCTAGGTCATGTTCATGATGGGTCACTAACTTCTAAAATGTGATGCTTTTTGATTAATGCAACACATTGATAAAATATCCTGGGATCACAAGTGAATAACTATGCTACTATACATCTCTGAAAACGAGACTCCAATTATTACTAGATAGCAAAAGTTTTTTCTTTCAGTTGGCATTAGCTCTTAACAAACTAATGAAATGTTATTTTAAGGGATGAAATCAAGCTCTTTATAAAAATACGGATAGTATGATTTTTATTACAGCCCTTAAAAGAATTAAGAACAAAAGTAAACATTGAAGCATATATTCAAGAAAAGCTAGAAACAAACATGTACCAATTAGTCATTGTAATAATTTTCATAATAAGTATGTTCTCTGTAGTGGTGATTTTCATCTCAGCACAACCCTTTATTTCATTGTTTATGATCTAGGGCATCACAATTGGTCCTCTGGTCAGATACCTGGATGTCAGAAAGACCAATAAAAAAGAATCCATCAATGAAGAGCTTCATACCCGTGTAAGTTTTGAGTTCATAAGATGTTGCCCATTTGTCACCTATGAGAATGTTCTAGAGACTTGGGTACATGTCACTAGACTTGTAGCCTCTTTCCTCCCTACCTCCACTAAACGTGATCGTATGGTTTCCTAGTTTTGCTGCTGTAGGGAATTAACAAAAGTTTATGGCTTTAAACACCACAAATGTATTATCTTGGAGTTCTGGAGGTAGGCATTGAAATGGGTCACAATCAAGGTGTGGCAGGCTACAATACCTTTCTGGAAGCTCCAGGTAAGAATCTGTTTTCCTGCATCCTCCAGCTTCTAGAGGCTTTCCGTGTTCCTTGGCTGGGTCCCTTCCATCCAGAAAGCCAGGAATGACTGACAGGTCTCTCTCATGTCACACCACTGTGGCTCTTCTGCCTTCCTCTTCCACACTGAAGGACCATTGTGATTGCGTTGGACCCACATGGATAATCCTAGATGTTCCCTCTGTCTTAAAGTCAGTGGACTAATAACCTTAAGTCCATTGGTTATCTGAGTTCTCCTTTGCATATAAACCATCATATTCACAGGTCTCAAAGATTAGGATGTAAACTTCTTTGGGAGACCATTATTCTGCCTATCACACTCTTCTCTCTTGTCTCTCAAAGATTTATATTTGTTCCACCTGCAAAATATATTCAATCTATCCTAGTATCATGGAAATCTAAATCCACCAAAGCATCAACTCCAAGTCCATATCTCATCTAAATTTCATCAGTTCAAATGTCCCAGATATCATCATCTCAATCATCTACATCAGGGACTCTTGGTAGAATCCATTTTAAGGCACAATTTCACTTCTCATCCTATAAAAGTCAGGAAACTAGTTATCTGTTTCCTAATTATACTGCAAGGACAGTTGCTGGATAACAGGTATTGACACTCCTTTTCAATAAGTGGGGGAATGGAAGTGAAAATGAAGTCATGGATCCCAAGCGAATTGCAAAGTCCTTCTGGGAAAATTCTATTTGGTTTCAAGGCCTGGAAATAATGTCCTTAGATTCTTTCTTTTACCCTCTAGTGCTCACTCTACCCTCTGATCCATACTTCCTGTATGTAAAAGGTAGCATGCCTTCCAAGCTGAGTGGTTTTATTGGCCAGTTTCTTGATTGTAAAATTGCGGGGTCCAACCGTCTTCTTTCATTCTACCCCCTTCTCTCTCCCTTTCATTTCAAGATGGCGGTGTTTCCTCAAGGTCCAACAGAAAAGCAGACCCAGTAGAAGAAATATAAAGAGATTTGTTCAAGGAATTGGTTTATACTCTTGTAGAAAGAGGTTAGCAAGTCCCAAATCCATAGGACAGACCAAGAAGGGAAGGCTAAAACTTTGTGGCATGACTTAAAGCTTTTATCCACAGCACACTTTCTCATTTGGGAAGGCTCAACTGTGTTGTGAAAACCTCTCAACTGACCAAATCCAGCCACTGAAATCATCTCAAATTATCTCCCTTGCTTAAAGACAACTGGTTTTTTAATCATATCTACAGAATCACAACAATATCTAGATTTGTTTTTGGTTGAATAATTGGGGACTTGATTAGTCAATTTGATTCCTTAGAAGAACTATTATAGTGACTAATGTTCAAAATTGTCTTACTTCTAAAATCGTTGTTCTACAGGAGTATGGGGTCCTTTTCCTTTTTCTTTTTTTTTTTTTAATCTTTTAATGGTGAAAGTACAAAGATTACAAATGTAGCCTGGTGGCAGTTTTTGAGGGAACTCTATCCAGGCAAAGGTGAGTATGAAGAAGTTCATTCTGATTTCTACCTGTTTGAGTTCAACACAATACACATAGAATAACATTCTGTATGGATTCCTGGAATAGAATTGAGAATTAATGTAGGGAAGATGCACACATACAGAGATAGATGTCAGCTCGTTTATGAAAGAATATTCTGAAATCATTTTTTTGATTGTTGTGCCCACGGGGCAATGGATGTGCCCAGCAGTGATTGGGGGCACTTGGTATATTTGCTGTTCAGAAATGCAAGCTTTCAGGGGATAATTGAGCCAAATAACTACTACAATTCTATCTTTGACGGTTCACAATTTTAATGGGGGAGAAATAAATGAAATCTTCCTAAATCAGCTTTGAGTTTCATAGCAAAAGATACTTGAGGAACTAGAGTAATTTAAATTTCAGGAAATGCAGCCAAATTTTTCAAGATCATTTGAAAATATTTAAAGGGATAGAGAGTGTTTTGAAATATGTAGTGCCATAACATAACTGTATACTTTTTTTTTGTCTCTATCTTTATCTACTTGGATTCATTACTTTGAGAAACAAGGCAATACAACCTAAATATGTAGAACCTGTATATATCATTTCTTTACCAGTTTTTACTCTTTTTCTCAAAAAATTATAATTATCCACAGGCAGTTTGTCAATTAAGTATTTAAAGAATAATTTAGAATCTTAATTTTTTTTCAAAAGGAAAAGGTCAGAAATTAGTATAGACTCCAGTGATTCATAATTTAAATTATTTAGAGATTAATTTGTAGTTATTTTAAGCTTGCATTTCTCCTAAATTCTGTAAACAGTTGTGGATGAAATGAATGTAGTATAATTGCCTCGAATGTTGAAGTGTAAATACATAGATTAAAAAAAATGGGAAATATAGGTAAGTTGTCTCATTATATGTTATCACAATAGATTATCTGAAGAACTGTATTTTGAGAAACTACATAAATTGGATACAGGCATGTTCTTGTTTTGGCAATGGAATTAAAAGTAACAGTTAATTATTAGACTTTGCATCCATATATTTTCAGTAATGAAAAACTTCCCAGATCATTCTGGGTAAATATTCAAAGCCAATGCCAGCAAATGCCTCTTTTCATTGCGTACTATGTGACTTATCAAGGAGCTTATCTAGAGAGTCTTTCAATCATGAAACTAATTTGACATAATATGAAAGGCATGGCATATTTTAGTTACATGAATAGAGAGGAAGAAAGGGGGTAGGCTTCCGGAAATTCAAGCCTCCCCCACTTTCAAATGTGTATCAGCTTTCCCTGTGTGTCTTTTAGAGTTTGCATTTCACCAGGAGTGATTTTCTTCTGTCTTGGTTTTGGCAGCTGATGGATCACTTGAAGGCTGGAATTGAAGATGTGTGTGGGCACTGGAGCCACTACCAAGTGAGAGACAAGTAAGGCACGCGGGGTTTCTGCACGTAACAAAGCATGCTTATGGCATTCCTGGGAACTTTCAAAGAGGACCAGGAAGCTAAAGGTCCCAGGAGCCATACCATGCAAGAAGCCCTTGGAAATCCCAGACATGTCATGCCTAGAGCCTCTAGTGGAAGAGGCCGTAAACCTGGTTTAGGTTGCATCAGAGAGAACTAGTACTATGAGTGGAAATTAGAAAAGTCATGTTTAAGTTTAAAACAAGGACAAGATCCCCCAGGATAAAAGCAGCCGAAGCATGGAATGACTGGCTTCATGAGACTGTGAAGGGAGTTTGGTGAACCATTAGGGATCCTGGGGCAGAGATTCCTCTGTGGTGGTGGACATCTCAATGGAAGATCTTTCAGGGTCCTTCCTACATAATGATTCTTAAAAAACGCCAAAGTCCCTCTCCTCTGCCATACCTCACACTTACGATCTCATTCTTTTTCTGGAGATTTAGTCAGAAGAAGAAATAGCGCGGCTATAGATGAGGGCTGTAAGCTGTGAGTCGTTGGTGGCTAAAGCCGTGAGCGTGGGTGAGATTATTTTATGCATGTAAAGAGGGGATGCTGATGGAAGACAGACTGAGGACTCCTGATTACCTGGGGTTGGTAAGGAAAAGAAAGGAGGTGGCCAAGGAGGCTGGAAGGGAGGCAGGAGTGAGCTAGGATGTGGGGAGCACCAAGGAACCGCTTAGCATATCAAGAGACACAGAGGCCGGTGGGGTGGGGCCACAGTAGCCCTTGGAGTTGAATGGTACAAGGTCAAGGTGGGCTTAGCAAGAAGAATGTCAGACAAGTCGTGAAAGTGGGGGTGAAGGTCGCTCTGAGTGTCGTGGTCACTTTCCTTTCAGGGGGAGCTGATCGCAGTGGACTGAAGAATTAACAGGAACTATAGCCTCTTATGAAAAAGGGCAGAAAACTGTATGGTCAGGGTGGTGACCCAGTTGGAGCCAGAGTAGCCGTGGTCTGAGCCAAACAGATCCCCAAGTTTAGGAAGTCAGATCGCCACACCTGGAGGGGACTTAACTGATTCCTCCCAGATCAGGAAACCAATCCCCAGACAATAAGCCAGCAGCTGGGGCAGATATGCTCCCCTCTTAAAAAAAAAAAACATAAAGCAGCAGAAAAACTACTCTCTGAATGTGAATTGATGGGAAATGTTGAAAATTTCAACTCCAAACAAATGGGCCACTCCAAGGGCGCCACAGGCACTCAGAGTGGGCTGGACAGAGGTTATTAACAATAGTCAGCGGCCATCAGTCTCTAGCCATTTCAGAGTCTCCATCATTCAGACTGTTTGGACATATGTGGGATTTTTTTTCTCCCCCTTAATTGTCAAGATTCAAAATTATCTGCAACATAATAGGGCAAAACTGCTATAACTACAGGGACATTTACCCTTACTGGGTTCTGGCTGAATAGGGCAGTATTACTGTAAGAGCAGCAGCTGCTCTTAGGAGCTATTAGAATGGAACACTTGTTCAAAAGCCTCAGCCCCCTCATTCCTTCTCTTACAATTGATGCTGAGCTGGGCTGGGCCTCTCCCTCTCCTCTTATGCACACTTTTTGCCCTGATTATGGTTTGTCCTTTTCTTTTTGTTTAGTTGATTTTTCAATGTATTCAGGGCAGTCAGCCATTCTTTCTTTATTCAAAAAATGCAGAAGTACTATGAATGTAAAAAAAAAAAAGTGTTCAAAGGCTATGAATTCCAGGCACTGATGTTTTTCAGAATGAAGTTAAATAGTAGTTTAAGAAAAAAATGTGTACTCAGAAAACACATGGAGATTAAAGATTCCAAAATGTTGTTTTTCATTTTTAGGTTCAAAAAGTTTGATCATAGATATTTACGGAAAATCCTAATCCGAAAGAACCAGCCAAAATCAAGCATCGTTTCTTTGTACAAGAAGCTGGAAATGAAACAAGCTATTGAGATGGTAGAGACTGGGATTCTGAGTTCTACAGCTTTTTCCATATCCAATCAGTAAGACATATCTGTTTTTTTTTTTGATCCAGACTTTCATTGTCCAAATTCCAGGGAGCACTAACTCATGGTTCCCTTTAGAGGTAATACTGGAGGGAAGAGGCAAAAAGATGAGTGTGTTAGTCAGTTTTCTGTTGCTGTAACAAATGCCCGAGATAATTTGCTTATAAAGAGAAAATGTTTTGGAGATTTCGGTCCATGACTGATTGACTAAATTCCTTTTGGGCCTGTGGTAAAATGGCCCATTATGGCAGCAGTATATGGCCAAATGGTTTATCTCATGGCAGAGACTTAAAAGAGAAGAAGAGGTAGTAGTTGGGGTTCTAGGATCTCCTTCAAAGCCAGGACCCCAAAGGCCTGGACACCTCACTTCTTAAAGGTTGCAAACCTCTTAATAGCACCATAGTCTATAGATGAAGCCTTTAACACATGGTCTTTTGGGACACTGACCTAAACCACAGCAGTGAGGACGAATCATACAAAACTAAGACTGAAATCTTGGCATGTTGTGGCTTAGTCCAAGGTCAATATATATATCACTTTGTTTTTGAGAAAAATTACTTTCTAGCAAAAATTGCCTCCTTAGGGGCTGGGATTGTGTAGAGCACTTGCTTAGCACGTGCTACGCCCTGGGTTCGATCTTCATCACCACATAAAAATAAATAAATAAAATAAAGGTATTGTGTCCAACTACAATTGAAAAATAAATATTAAAAAAATTGCCCCCTTATACAATATCTTCCTTTGGGAGGGAGCAAGTACATTTATAGAATGGCAGCGTGTGGTATAAGATTTTCTCTTTTTTCCTCTTGACCAGCAGTCTCTGTTCTTTAAACCCCATTCATGATTCTGCCCTTCTTACCACTGTGTTTTTTCTCCTTCCCATAATTCATTTATCTACCTCTCTTATGTGAGGAGAGACATGTTGCCTCTCTGAGATGCTAACCTGGGCTTGGGGATGTATGTATTAGCTTTGTGTCACTACAGTGAAATACCGGACCCAGGCTATTTATGGAGTAAAGAGAGGTTAGTCTTGGCTCACAGCTTGGGAAGTTCAAGTCCTAGGTCTGGTGGCTGCATTAGTTTGGGCCTCTGGTGACAGTAGCATACCACAGCAAGGGTACATGTAAAAGCGAGTGCTCACGTCTCAAACCAATGAACAGAGAAAAGAAGAAACTGGGGTCTCACAAACCCCTTTGAGGTCACACCCTCAATAACCTAAAAACCTCTAACTAGACTCTGCCTTTTGAAAGTCCTCAGGGCTCTCCCTTTATCAACACCCTGGCCTTCGGGTGACATTCATCCAAGCCACAAAGGGTTGAGTGGTGGTAGCAAAGAGGGTGCTGGTCAGTTGGCTGTTTAAAGAGAAAGCTGCATTGGCAGTTGTGTCTAAGGCAAAGGTCATTGTGAGACTCTGAGACTAGCTTGGAGCAGGAGCAGATCACTGGCTGGCTTCCTGGCGAAAAAGGACCATAGGCGGCTGAGGTGGAGGCGGTGTGGGCAGAGGTGGTACCTGCGTATAATTCCATCATTACAGGATGATTTTTTTGAAACAAGGTGTTTCTCTTGGACCATGTGCTAACCAATTGTCCCAACAGCTGGCTAGACATTTTTAAAATCGGCTTTACCTCTCTGATATTTAATGAGAGTTCCTTCAATGTCACAAGAATTAATTCACCTCCTGAAGATGTTCAGTTTTCTTCCAAGGAATGACTTATGAATTGGGAAAATTGATCACTTTATATATTTAGGGAAAGGGACACTAACCCCTCTATCCTGTCTTCAGCAGATAAAAACACTTGATCATGAGCTCACTGACATTCTCACATTAGAAAAGCAAGTTGAGAGAAAAGCTAAAAATAGTTAGCCACAAAACTGTCACTGATGCTTGAGTGTGATTTCTCAGACAACACCTTCCTCCCTAACCTGCTAATGAATCAGAAACACCATTTCCTTCATAATGTGGCCTGAGAAAAATCTAAACTAGATTCCCTGAGGATAGCAGTATAAACAGAAAGCTTTCTGCCTTAGTGAGATTGTTTTTGTGGCTTGTTTGTTTTTGTGGGTGCTTCTCATTGCACGGCTTTAAGGAAGCTTCTGATACCAAAAGGGGAAAGTGCTGACAAATATTTACTGGCAAAGCTGGACTGGGCCCGAGTGGAACCGGAAGCAACAGGAAAAAATCAGGAATGCTGATCCTGTTTTCATTAAAAATGTTGATACTTTATTCATTAAAGATTTTTTTTCCTGCATTTTCTACAATATTGCATTCAAACCTTACTTAATGATTATTTACCCCTTACACTTGGTACCTTAGCTCCAGTGCTGCTTATTAGGCACCTATTGCGTATCATGCATGGTAAAAGAAGACTTAGACTCTGCTGTTGTGGACACTATCCTCTAGCAGGGTCATGACATTCATTTTTTCCAAAAACTGTGCAATGTGCAATCATCAATGATAGGGAGCTATGCTAGTATGTGAGAGGAGAGGTGAGCGTGCTGGCCTCCTGGCATGTAACCTGCTCACTGAAGGATGAACTGGAGTTAATGCAGGGGTAGGGGAGGGCTGGACAGCTCCAGGCAGTTAGACCATTAGCAACTTCCTCTATTGCTTTGCTCTCCATTTATATGAGCACTTGGTCTAGGAATGTAGGGGCACTTATCGCAAATGAGAATCAGTCTGTCATGTGCTAAAATGTATTTTGAATCTCTTTATTATGTTGGCCATAAGCAACTGCCCCACATTCAAGGGGATTTTAAACCAACTTTATTTAGAGTCGCCTCCCAATCCATTTCCCCCAATTCAATTAATTCTTCAGATATTGATTCCAGATTAGAAAGGGAATCTTACAGGTAAGAAATGTTTTTCTACTACTATATCCCCAACTAGCTAATTAACTGAGGTGAGAGAGAGGATTTTTTTAAAGCTGATGTCTAATACAGGTTTAGATTTAAATTGCATTTATTTGATCTCATCAGAAATCTGTAGGACATCAAGCAAAAAGGAACTTCCCTCCTGAGATCAAAGCGGCTAATTTCTTCATAAACAAACCTTCAAACAATAATAGGAAAAAGAAGTGTGTACTCAGCTCGCTTTTTAGTAATCTGTATGAGATGATAACAACAAAATGCTCATATATTTTTTTCTTTAGAAGTTTAAGCAATTGTTCTACAAAAGGTTGAGATTTCAAAATTCTGTGACCTTCAGGAGAATGTTACCACCAGGGTTGTCCACAGGACAGTTCAGATGACACTGATTCTATGAAACCACATTGCTGCTACGTTGTTCAAATATCAAACCTACTCTATGGAATAGGCAGAATGCATACTTTCATTATTATTTCATTATTATTTTACTCATGAGTGATAAGCTATTTGAAATTCTTAGAGGACAAGAAGCTCCAAATGATTAAAAATGTTGAAGCTTTAGAAATATCTTGATTAATATCATAGGGGCATTAAAATATTTATAAATTTATTACCATAACAAGACTGCAACTATACGGCCTCATCGTATTATATTTTAGAACTCCCAAGTAATTTTAACGTGTCATCTGTTTTTAAAGCATAAAATAGTTCCACTGTAATTGAAGAACTTTTTGAACTGATCCCACTTTGAAAGAGTGCACCATTTCTGAATTCTTGTGGCAATTCTGGGATATAGATTCTGATGTGATATTTCACTCCCAGAATTGAAAGTGATATTACAGGGAGTGAAGTCATCTTCTCATCCATGCTTCGTTTATTCTAAATGCTAGTCATCTAGGTGGTCTCAATAAAAAGACTCAAAAAAAAAAAAAAAACTGAAGGTAGCCTGGTGCACAGAGTAGCTGATGGTGTATGTGTTGGCTTCCAGCCACACTCTTCCCATGGAATTCAGGGCTACACTATTAAAAGTTCATGTATTTTTCTAAACAAACAGTATATAATATTTGATCTTTGGGAATTCATATTGGGGAATGGATATAAAATCTTCTAGATTCCAGTTGAATTAAAGCTACCTTTTATATTACAATGGCATTTGAGAAAAAAAGAGTTAGTTGGGCTGGGGAGGTAACTAAGTGGTAAAGCACTTGGTAGGGCATGCATGAGGTCCTTGGTTCAATCCCCGGTGACAGACACACACATACACACACACACACACACACGAAAGTGAAACTTGCATTCAAATACATCTGGATGGAGGTTTTCCTAGTTTGATTTTAGGAACCATGAAATTACCACAGAACTTTTATTTAAGGTGATGGGGATTTCCTTTACGGACAATAAGTGAATTTTCCAGGGTCAAGAGTCTTAGAGTTTGTCATTTGAATCTTTTGACCCAGACATCTTTGTCCACTCGGTTTTTCTAAGGATTGTGTCTTTCCTGTGCTTGTGATGTGAACATCTCAAGAATAATTTTATTAACAAAGTGTCCAAAAAAAAAAAAAAACCTCCAGGCATCACCCCACTCAAGTTGGCCACACCTCCATTTGCCACTGCGGCTTCTCATTGTGGAGTCCAGGAGAGGCCCTACCTTTGAGACACCCTAACTACTCATTCCAGCCCACAGCCTGAATGAGCTTAATTAAGTCTGCTCCTTCCTAAAGTGGCCAATTACACAGCGGGGAAAATGCCAGCATAACTCTATTGCTGTATCAAGTTTCACTTTGTCATTTCCTTTATCATTGTTTTTTTTTTCCTATTTGTCTGTTTTATTATGAATGTAGAAAATGGAACTGTTTGGCTAGCTGGTGTTTCTGTTTAGCCATATGTTACACCCACCATAATGAAGGAATGTGTTCAGATTATGAGGGTGTGTGAGTGTACCTAATTCAAAATAAATTTTATTTGAAGGACATTTACACAGTAGGGTTCAAATGCCCTGATAATAATGTTTAGATCACCAAGGCTGGTAACGGAATATCAATAGAGGTAACATTTGCAGCTTTAGATTTCGCCCTATCTTAGGATAGGGAACCTCTGATTTCAATAATTCTGTAGAAAGGGCATTAGTCAATGTACAGAAAGGATGGCTAAATAAAATCCTGGCATGAGGTGATGTCTGGTATCCAAGTCCTTTAAAATCTCCTTCCAATTGCATGTTACATTTTAAATATCCTTAAAATTTATGACCACATAGATACTAATTTGGGGGGGAAAATGCCTAACTATGGCCTGTATTGGAACTAATCATTACTCATCTCTGTGATCAATTAACCTAGAAACATATGAAAGCAGATATTAAAGCCATCAGTGCCCTTACGTATTTACTATAGCGGCAGCTAGAAATAGCAAACATGGAGTCAAGTAACAATTAGGGTTCATAGAAAGATAGGAAGGAAGGTGGAGATATTAAAAGGAAGTCGTAGCTCGTTCTTTCTTTTGCTTGCTTGCTTCCTTCCTTCAATAAATACATACTACTCACGTAATAAAAAGTTTTGAAAAAATTACTGCCAGTAGATTGTAATCAAATACACTTGTCACATGTGGATTCTTCCCATAGCAATGTTGTGACTTGAAATCCCCAGAGGACAATTGCTCATTGACTGCTAACCTGGGTATAACCTGGATTTTAAACTCTTTCGGGGGTTCATAGTGCCCAGTGTCTCAAAGCAGACTGACCTTCATGGTGTGAAGCGTTTGATTCCCTTTGTTAAATGCGATTCTAGTTTTCTTTATTTTAACCAAAATAAAAATCTCTGAAGGTCCGATTCTAAGATAAATGTACCACCCTTGCAGCTTTAATATTTCTTAGGTCAGTGCTACTCAGAATATGTCATGTGGATGGTGTGGGTCTGTGAAATGTTTTTCACCCTGTCCATAATGAGATTAAATACAGAACTAACAAAGAGTCAAACTTTGAGTCATTTTATAAAACATTTGTATTGCATTTTATGGTATCCTTTTCTATTAATTGATTTTTATTGTATGTTACAAACATGTTAATTTGTAACAGAGTGGCAGGGGAAAAATTACTTGGTTGTCACCTTAAATCGACATAAGAGCTCTGAGGAATTCTTTTTTGAAGCTTCAAGACTCATATTCTGACATTTCAAATCAATTCATTAATACCAATAAAAAAAACTTATGTATAAAGGGGTTCTGAAACTTAGGGTCATCAATCGTATGGGGCACCCTGGTGTTTATGTGGTATCTCTTGCCAAGATTTGAGAATAATGTTCCTCTTTCTCTAATGATGTTTCCAGGGCCCAGAGGATACAAGGAATTAAAAGACTTTCCCCTGAAGATGTGGAGTCCATGAGGGACATCCTGACTCGCAACATGTACCAAGTTCGACAAAGGGTGTGTATGAGTCATCTGCCTCGTTGCTGTTGCCTGTCCTGGGAACCATGCCTTCAGGAACCTGCTCTTGTTTGCATGTCCTCTCTAAAGCAGCCACTTAGAACAAGTTCTCTCTGCTCAGTCTGGAGAACAGAAAGTTAATTGTCATGTTTCTGCTACAAAGTTGGCACCTGTAGCATAAAAAGAAATGCAAACCTAGTTGCTGTCTCTAGGGGTCAGGCTGCCCCAGCCTTGCAGCCTGGAGTTTTCCAGAACCATCAGGTCTCCCTGTCCTCCAAGGGCAGATAAGCAGTCAAGCTCATCCACCACACCAAAGACAGATGGCACCAGGGCACTGAAGATAGCAGAGCTGCCTCAGTGGTTTCAGCTACAATAAAAGAAAGTCAAAGTCATTTAGAATATTGAAACAATAATGCTGAAGACCAGAAAAAAAAGCAAGAAAGGTATTAAGCATCTTATTTTTCAGTTTTGGAAATAGGTATGGAATCTGTAGTAGATGTCAGTCGCTAGACCAATGTACATGCAAGAATATTTCTGAGGGCAATGAATGAGGCAGTCCTAAGAACTTTTGGCTGAATTAAATGACAGATATGCTGACATCATCCATTTAAGAGTTATTTTACTTTATTTTCAAAATCTGAAGACTTAATCGTCCATCCTGATTCTTGGGTACGATCGTAATAACCACATATGTCCATTGTGAGGGCCTTCGTCTTTCTTTATAGATGATAATCTTAATCGAATAAAAAAATCATAAAATCAAAGCTCTTCATTTCAAGTAGAAGGCACAGAAATTAGTGAAGTTGATGGTCTGACTTATGAAAGGTCCCAAAACCAATCCAAGTTCAGAGCTTAGGTCTTCTGACCTCCTGCCCAATACTCTTTCCATGACATCAGACTTACAATCCAGTAAAAGTGAAGGTCTTCTGGCCTCCTGTCCATGGTGAGGGGGCTGTGTCAGTGAAAGGCTGCAGCCCAGCTGAGGGAATGTAGGTCACCATCAAGAGAGCTGCTTGAATTTCACTGCCTTCAGATCTTTCCAAGTGAAACTGTTTCAGTAAGAAAATCACATCCTGCCTTAGATCAATAGATAAGAACTTCCTCCTAGTGAGAGCCAAAGGGTGTATATAAGCACCACCAGGTACCTGGTGCCCAGCTTTCCCCCCATGTTGATGAAGCGATAGAGAAATGGATGTGGAGATCCTGAATTCCAACCCATGCTAAACAGTTTCACCACCCATCCTCTTCACTTGGGGCAGGATCCCAGGTAGCCCCCTTCCTTCTTTTTTTAAATTTCCTCCTCCATCTGGCCTCCGTAGTTCTCCCTTTTAATTGAAGTGGCATCTTTCTTCCTTATTTCCCCCAATTTGAGTACACTGACTGCTTTTCACCTACAGGATTTAGACATGAGCACCATGGGAATCCAGTGAGGAAAACATAATTGATCAACAGGGAGGTGACAGCTAGGAGATTCCTTTTGGCCTTCTCTTTCAGTACTTTGGTGAGTGAGGCTCACCAATCCCACCCCTTCTTGGTTTTCCTTTCTAACTCCAGCTTTACCAGGGTCATGAGAATCTTCTCTTCTACATGGATGATGATGATGATGATGATGATGATGATGATGCTTTTGTTCTCTTGAAGGGAAAAATCATCATAGAAATGTAACCCAGGACAACTATACTTTGTCTAGTAAGAAATCTACATTTTTGCTGAGGGATATAAAGAATATGTAGGAGCCCTCTGAGGTCCTCCAGGCTGGGTAATAGGTCCAGGCCTGGTGACGGGAGTGTTCCTCACTGTCCAAGTCTTGGAAGAGTCTGTCCTGGGAGTTAGGAGTCATTTGGGGGCAGCTCCAGAATGAGTGCAGGGTTTCACTCTAGGTGATCGTCATACACGGTTGATATGGGCTGTATCTCCAGCCAACACCTGTTTGAAGTCTGTCCCTCTGGCACATTCAGGATGGAATCTACATGAGCAGGGAAGTGGAGGGACCTCTGGAAATTCCCAGTGGGACCACCACACAGGAAGCTCTCAGGAATGCAAGGGAATGGAATTTGAAAAACACTTCTTCCAAATATCTGAGAGAAGAACCTCCTTAGACCTAAGGACAGGTCAAAGGTTGATCTGCAGTTCCTGGGGTGGCCTATGGGGTCAGGTTACTTTCAGAGTTTCTGCATATTTTTTTAAAGGATCACAGCAATTCGTTCAATTTCTGTTCTGTACGGCAAATAGTTTAGACACATCTGTATTGGGCCAGGCATTAGGAACACTGAACTGAATAAGACAGAGTTCTTTCTCTCATTTAGGACTCAAGGTTTAATGGGGAATTTAGGACTTTAACCACTTACCATCAGCTTCACAAGAGGGCAGAAATGGAGGGAGAAGAAGGAAAAAACTGGCATGTATATTATATGCATAGAAATTCTGTGATCCCTGCAAAAGACCAAATAGACAAGGCTCATGGTTGGTGAGGCAAAATGGAAGAGCCAATGTTCAAATGTTGAAGTGCAGCCTCCTCCTAGGTCTGGGCATAGGAATTCCTAGTAGGAACATATGTATACATTCAGGTTTGTATGACTTTAACATTGATGGAAAAGTATAAAACTTTGTCTCAACATTCTGGAGTTTTAATGTTTAAATACTTTTTCTGTTAGTGTCCATATCATTCATTATGTTTTATATTTCAGTGTATAAAATGCTCTTAGGTTAAGGTCTGTCCTTAAAAGTGATGGCTAAGAATCCATATTTTCAATTGTCATCACAATTCAATATTTTGGCCAAATTCTTGTTAGATTAGTTAGCTTATCCAAAGTGGCTGATAAAGAGTGTCTATGGGGAGAGGAGCAAAGTCAACTTTTCCCCTTGCTCCTTTGGCCTTCAATTTGTACCTTGCCTTGTGGAAATCCTTACAGATAATCATCTATTTTGTGAGGTTTCGTCCAGTTAATATATAATCAAAACCACAAGTCTACTCAACTGGCTGCATATCCACTAACACACAAATAAGAAACTGAAAACCAATAGAACGCACGGGGACACTGTCGCCAAACTCTCCCCACTAGGGACACCATTTTCTGTTTTGGCAGGAAACTTGACTATGTCTGGATGAATTGAGGGCCCACTATAAACCCATGCATTAAGTTCGAATGAGGCTTAATCCCTTTTGTACATTTTGGATAAAAACCAACAGAAATGGAGGCATCAGTATTTTCTTTCTGCACCCCGTGTATCACCTGGTGGTACCCTTGTGTGGGTACACCCCACCTAAGGGACACAAGGTCTGCAGGATCAAGTCTCCGCTCCTTGAGAGGTTCTTGGTGGCCTGTCCCACCCCTGTGACCTCTGCAGTCTCGTCTCTCACTACCCTTGGAGTGATGCACTTGGTTCTCATGGTTACAAACCATTTCCTTCTCTTTTCCAGTAGCCCCCCTATTTCTCCCTCCAAGTCTGTTCATGGCCCTTGTCATACATAGGCCCTGTATTTGTTCTTTCTGGAACTTCCTCCTAGGATAACACTCTCTCATCTTTCAATGCATGCCCTAGAGCAATGAACCTGTCACATCCAAGCCTCATCAAGCACCTATTGCCTGTACTCTACGAATCCCAGGTGATCCCAACCATGTGTCACTTACACAGGCACATAGAATTATATCATTGTTAACTTGATTCCTCCAGAGACTGGAAGCCTTATAAAGCCCAGGATCCTAGTTCTTATTTACATTTTGATACAAGAGATTGAACCCAGGGGTGCTTAACCACTGAACCACATCCCCAGCCACAACCTTTTTTTTTTTTTTAAATTATGAGATAGCATTTTGCCAAGTTGCTTAGGGCCTTGCTAAGTTGCTGAGACTGGCTTTGAACTTGCAGGCCTACTGCCTTATCCTCCCTAGCTGCTGGGATTACAGGCGTGCACTACCATATCCGGCTTCCAATTCATTGGTAAAAGGCTATGCCTTCTGTGTCATCTGGATGATAGAATGTCTGCTGTATTGCAGTTGAATTGATTATTCCTTTAGAGATAACACTTGCAGTCCCAATTCCATCATGCAGCAGGACTTTGTGGTTTATCAGTGCACACAGTATGTCACCGACTAGCCCCCCCAAAAGTGGTCATGCACTGATGAACCTCAAGGTAGCAGCAAGGGAGAAAAGGAGTCTCAGCTGTTCGTATTGCAAACATCTGTTTAAGCACCAATGTTGGCCTCTGATCCATGACAAATATTTCCTGGTCTTGGGTAAGAACAAGGAAGAAATTTATCATGAAGATAAATTAACTGAATTTGAAGGACTGTGCTTTATCTTTTTTGGTTGTTGTTGTTATATATATATATATTAGTTATAGGTGAACACAATATCTTATTTTTATTTTTATGTGGTGCAGAGGATCAAACCCAGTGCCTCACGCATGCGAGGCGAGCGCTGCTCTCCCTCTGAGCCACAACTTCAGCCCTGTTCTTTATCTTAGAGTATGTCTTTCCTACTAATTTTGGTTAAAAGATCTCTTCCTTCCTGAATTTATGATAATAGTGATTGGTAGAAATTATTCGATTTTGGGGGGTATTTTTCCATAATTGGCAAATTTTTTTAAAAATAGCAACCTTCTAGAAATTTCTAAAGTAGTACTTATATCTTTCTTATCTATGAAATTCAAATGCCTACGAACCACTGGCCCATCACAATAACATAAAATAAAATTAAAATATGCACACACATGCCCACACAACCCGAGAAAGAGAAAGCATGCATGGGGCAGCCAGGTCTGAGGGTACCTCAGGTTAGAACAGCTGAGAAAGGCTTGGATGCAGCCTAAGCTCTGCCCCCAAGGACAGGAGCCACAGGTTACAGATTTTTCTCAGGGCCCAGGCTTGCTTACCTGCAAGGGAAGCAGTTCTCAGCCAAGCTTCTCTGTGCCTACCTGCTCTACCTGTCTCAGGTGTGTGATGTGTCCGTGGCCTCCTGGGGCCGGAAATTGCACTGGAGAAGTTCTTACCTATTGGATTTTCCATTCTCTCTGCAGACCCCATCCTACAACAAATACAACCTCAAACCCCAAACAAGCGAGAAGCAGGCTAAAGAGATTCTCATCCGACGTCAGAACACCTTGAGAGAAAGCATGAGGAAAGGTCACAGCCTGCCCTGGGCAAAGCCGGTGCGTGGGGACATTCCTTCAGTCTGCACATGTTAATCAACTCCTCAGTTGAGCCACCATTGATACTGAAACTAACCTTGCTGCCAGGGAGGGACACCAAGCAACCTCTGCTTTCTGTCCAGGTGACCGGAGGCACCTGCCCATGAGGTTTATGGGAGTGAACTGCCCTCCACAGGAGGTCAGTGACTGCCACATGGACCCTGTGCTGAGGGTCTAGAGTCAGGCCCCACAAAGGCCAGATACTGAGCATGCCAGGGGTCCTCTTTGGACCAGCGCCTCTGGCCCTCCCAGGAGGACACAGGGAAGAGTTTGTTCTTGCTGAGACCCTGGGGCCTAATTGTCACATCCCCACTGCACCTAAGACCACATCAGACAATCTTTTTAGGATTTCTGGGTGGAATTGAGACTAAAATAGACCCTAATCTCAGTGGGGTTGATGGAAATAAGATTCAGAGGTTCACAGCAGTCAGTTATATGACAAAAAGGAACATATTTTAATCTGAAGTTTTGAAATATGCAAAGTGCTCCTTATATTAAAAAGTGGAGTGATTACTATAATACTATTTATACATAGAGAAGATGGAAGTTCTCTGCTTTCTTCAAACAAAAGTGACTGAAAGCCAGTAATGTAACCCAGGTGCTGCAGTGTGGGTCTGTCCTCTGCTTTATTGGCTATAGGAAGGTCTTAATTGCAAAAGCTCATTCCACTTTTTATTTCTACTTGTTACCCACAGGCTGGCACCAAAAACATCCGCTACCTCTCGGTTCCCTACAGCAACCTGCAGCCACCAGAGAGGGACACAAGAGCTCCTGAGTCCTCAGGTAACGTGCATGTGTGGCCACTTTCTTTTCCTGTAGAGAGTCAGTTGGTAAATACAGTAGGATTTGCAGACCAGGAAGTAAAATCATGAATATTATGAAGGTACCTATGGGACAAGAAAAAGAAGAAAACTTGCTTTATAGATAAAATTCATAATTTGTTTATGGATACTGAAATTTAAATTTTACTTCATTTTTTTATTTGTTATGAACAATTATCTTTGTTTCGTTTTTTTCCAGCCATTTAAAAATTTGGCGATGATTTATAGCTCATGGTTCCCACAGAAAGAGACAGCAGACCAGATATAGACCCAGGGTAGTTGACCTCTGTTTTAAAGAAACATAAAAGGTGCATTTTACTGAAGTTGTGGGCTTCACCCACAATTTAAATATGAGCAGAATTCTCCAAAGTTGCTTAATCTTTACTGAAATAACTTAAAATTTACTGATTAAAGGTTTCTCTTAAGTGGAATTCTTAGAATTATTGAAGCTACTTATTATTCTAACAAAAGCCAAGTTGCTATTTAAAATGTGAATAAAATGGTTTTCTATTAGTAAAAGGAGACATACGATATATACCATATGCTATATTATGTATGTTGATTTTCCTAAAATATTAAGCCTTAAAATCATATTGGTACATGAATCTGTAACAACAAATCCCATCATATGTACAACTATAATGTATCAATAAAAAATGTAGAAAAAGAAAAATCATATTGGAAATCAAGTAAACTAAGTTTGCAGGATTGTAGAATTACATCTTTAAGAAGTAAATGCAATTATTATTTAAAGTGATAAATTCTCTAATTTAAAGAGATGCTTCTTGTAAAATCAAAGTCAAGCAGTAGAGAAAATGCATAGTGAGGAAAGTTAAAAGCACTTGAAACCCTAACACCCAGATATAAGTGCCATAACCAATTTGTTTGGCATTCTTCCATTATTCTCTCTATGCCACCCTGACCCCTAGATCAACCCTATCTGATTTTAAAAAAATTTACAAGAACACAGCATCATATTATACATAAAATCAAATATTAGTCATGCTTTGATATGTCATAAATTGTTGGTTTATTCAACAGTAATGGAGACAGATTTCCATGTCAATAGCTATGAATCTAGTACTCAGTTTAATGACTAAATAATAGTTATTAGAAGCATTACAGCTTATTCAGTTAATTTCTAATTAGTAATCAGTTAAGATATTTCTAATTTTTAATAACTAATAAGCACTGATATATTATAAGCACTTTATATCACTTGTGATTGACTTTTACATACATAACCAAATAGTTCCTTGCTGTAAGTAAAATTTTGAGGTCAAAAATCAAATACATTTAAATTTTTTTGTGTTATTTTATTTTTGATTGACACATTACAATTACAATTGTACATTACATACATTACCTAAACAATCATCCCAAACGATTATATCACTAATCACAACAGTCTGTGAGAATGGTCTTTTCAAAACACCTTTATCATCACTGAGATGTGTCAAATTTGTGAGTAATCTACATCTGGAAGGGTAAATTTTATACCGTCTATTTAATTTTCATATGAATCTCTGATCTTCAGCGAGGTTAAATATCTTCCATATTTTTGGAGATGACTGCCTTTCTTTTTTTTTAAAGAGAGAGAGAATTTTTTTAATATTTATTTTTTAGTTTTCAGTGGACACACATCTTTACTTTTTATTTTTATGTGGTGCTGAGGATGGAACCCAGCACCCTGTGCATGCCAGGCAAGCGTGTTACCACTTGAGCCACATCCCCAGCCCATGACTGCCTTTCTTTGGGGAAATTTTCTGTGTCTGCCTTTGTTCATTTTTTCCCCCTTTGGTTGCTGATTTTTTTAACCCTTTGTCCCATTGTCCCAGATTTTAGAATACCTAGAAAAACTTAGTATCATTAAAAATATGTCACACAGTTATATAATAATAATATTTTTATAAGAATATTAATTAAAATAATAACATATCTATGCTTTCTATTATGATCTTCAATCTATTTGACTGAACCTTTGCAAATTGTGTTGAAATAGTCACAGAATTATAAAACTTGGGATTGATGGGGTTAAATGAAGTTGAAGAACTCTCTAAAAAAACGGATACAGAAAATTAAGAAATGATTCCTGCATTTTTTCCCATTGAGAACATTAATAGCTTATTTTTTCCCATTTAAGCTTCAATCATCTGAAATTGATTCTGTGTGAGGACTAAGGTAGAGATGAACTTCAGATCGCTTCAAGGGCTGTGCTTCTATCCCAGCACCACATTTCCTCCAAGATAACATGTGGCCTTTGTTTTACCGAAGTCATGAACCCTGCAGGGAGCTTTGGGCACTCAATTCTGTTTCACTGATCTGGTTTTCTATTCCCAGACTACACTCTAGTAACTAGTATTATTTGATATTATCAAAGGGCTATCCCACAAACAAAGGGTAGCAAAAAAACAAAACAAACAAACAAACAAAAACCCCATAAAAACCAAAAGAGCACCAAATATAGAGTGTTTAATAGATTGACTTTAAAATAACTTCATGGTGCAAATAACCCAGTGCTATTTTTGTAATTTGTTTAAATAGAAAATAAAAAAGTCTTACAGTTATTTCTTATGCGATGAACATCAATATCACATGACTCTAGTAGCAGAGACGACTACAAAGCAGACTTAAATTTTAAATAAGCATTACAAAAAAAAGTAGAAAGGTAAAGAAATATTATACTTTGCAAAACAGTGTTTTTTTATTAGATTTATTATAGTTTTTTATTAGTTTTTTTATAGTTTTTATTCCAGAAGTCATGGGTTATATGACATTTGGAAACATATTTATATTATTCCCTAGATTAATAGGTCAGAGGATCCTGTCCTGTCAATAGATGCCTCCAGGAAATGGCATCTACTCAATTTCAGTAAAGACCATCAAATGTCTGGAAATTTTATACAGGGCTGTCTTAGCCTATTTTCTTTTACTATAACACAACACCTGAGACTAGATAATTTATAAAGGAAAGAGATTTATTTAGCTTATGGTACTAGAGGCAAGGAAGTCCAAGATCACGTATGTGGCCTCTAGTAAGTTCCTCATCGTGTATCATAACATGGTGGATGACATCATATGGGGGCAGTGCCTGTGAGAATGTGGCATCACATGGTGAGCAGACACATGCAGAAGAGAGGGAGGGGACAAAGGAGCTGTCTCACTTTATAACAATTTGCTTTTCAGAGAACTAATCCTGTCTTCTGAAAAAGATGTGAATACCACCTAAATTCTTGACCCCCTCCGCACTGTCACATTGAGAATTCAGCATCAACACAAGCTTTAGTGGGGACAAACCACATTCAAACTATTAGCAAGGTCCTATATGAAGAAAAAATACAATTCAATTTCTTCACTGTTGTTTGTACTCAGTAAAGAAGAAGGTAATATCGGCAGCACCCACCTGCAAAAGTTCTGCCTGGAAGTGAAGTCAGGCAGGCACAGAGAGGGTACACACGTGAACAGGCTCATAGAGCTGTTAGAACAGGGCTTGGAACCAACTAGGTGTGTACAAAAAATTAGGCCTTAGTGCTACTATTGAGGAGCATTAAGGAAGACTCCACCTGGTTAGAGACAGGTGTTCCTGGAAGAAAGCCAACACCTCAAAATGCCAGTTTTTTAATGAATTAACAGACGTGAAATGAAATCTTAGTCCCAGTGAGTTTTCTTTTCTCCCATGTACTCAGGTGGTTCTAAGTGTCGTCATCTAATTGAGATTGGCCAAACTAGAAATCTGAGAAGTAGCGAAGTGGGATTGTGTTATCAGTTATACTTCATAAGTTTTTAATAATTACAATGACAATCAAGGGGAGGCGGAGGTCATCCTCAGTGGGCAGCTAGGCATGGTTGACCACTGGAATCCACTCCTCTCTCCAAATGTGCAGTCTTTCTGCAGCAGGAAGAGGTCAGGAAACAACCTGAGGCCCTCTAGGGAGACCTCAGCGCTGACTGTCCCCTAGGAGGCCGTCCCTGCACCAGGGAGCCTGAGACTCAGGGAGTATTTTCCGTCCTAGCCCTTCCCGTGCCCTCTAGCATCAGGATATCCCTTGCTCTGATGTCTGGGAGCTCCAAGCTGACGTGGGGGGCTCCACTCACTCTCCTAAGGTCCATTTGCCTTGGGGCTCACTGGGATTTCTAAGAAGAGAGGTCTCACCTTGAAACCCCTGGCATGTCCTGAGGCTGCTGAAAACTCCTATGAACCTGTGAACCAGGGAATGTGGAAAACCTCTGGAGATGAATGGTGGTGATGATTATGCAAAAATATGATTACTCTTGATGCTGTTGTGCCGTACACAAAAATGGTTATTCTAAATGATTAAAATGGCTAATTTTTTGTTATGTATATATTACCACAAATTTATTTGGGGGAGGGTCCTGGGGATGGAACCCAGGGGCACCCAACCACCAAGCCATATCCCCAGCCTTTATTTTTTTTTTAATTTTTTAATACCTTTATTTTATTTATTTATTTTTATGTGGTGCTGAGGATCGAACCCAGGGCCTCGCACTTGCTAGGCAAGCGCTCTACCACTGAGCGCTGAGCCACAATCCCAGCCCCTCCTTTAAAATTTTTGTTAATTTTATTTATTTTTATTTAGAGACAGGGTCTCACTGAGTTGCTTAGGGCCTCACTAAACAGCTGAGGCTGGCTTTGAGCTTGCAGTCCTCCTGCCTCAGCCTCACGAGCTGCTGGGATTACAGGCATGTGCCACCAGGCCTGGTGATTTCCTTCTGTTGATTTTAAATAAGGAGCGCAAGTGGGGTTGCCCTGAGTTTTTGTCATCTGGATGCGAAGTCTTAACTCTGATCAAGTCTTCTACCTCCTCCTCCTGACATTTTCCTAGATGACCATGGGAGTGGCTCAGAATTCCCACCCATCACTTTCAGCGCACCCTCTGGGACAGGGATGCTCCAGGAAAGGCGACGGACACAAGAAAGGATCCCGATGAGGAATTTACACAGAGGAGGGAGGGCATTGCGCTTCGGTCACGAAGGGAACGGCAGCCAGGAAGAGCTCACGGGCAGAGGCAGGAGGGCAGTCTTAAGGCCCAGGCCTCTGTTCCACGCCGTCGATGAGGAATATGAACCTGGAGAGGAGGCAGAGGGTCCGGCCTCAGCTGCTGGATCCAGATGGACAGCCGAGCCGGGACACAACCGGGGACACCACGAGTCCCAAAGTCCTTTGCTCCAAAGAAAATAGTTCTACAGTTCCCAAGGTCACTTCTGTGATGTTGAAGGCCATCTTCCTTTTACTGTGAAGGGGTTTTCAGATTTCAGAAGACAGCTAATGAGTTTTTTTTTTTTTTTTTAAGCTCTTGGACCCATGTCTATAGGAAGCAGAAGATTTTTTTTTATAGGACTGGGCGCAAACCTGAAAGCTGAGCCACATCTTTGGCCAATGTCCGTTGCAGATGAATTTGTTGAGAGTGATAGAAATCCATTACCCAGGAATTGGTCTCTAAGAATTTCCTAAGGACATTCTATCAAGACTACTTGATCTATGTTCTATATTGAGATGTAAGTGTGATTGGTCAGTAATCTAATTAACTATATGCATGTGTAACTTATAATCAAAGTAGAACTAAGGGGGCTTTTGAAGCCACCTGGCTCAATCCCTGAGTTTACAAATAAGGACACCTTGACCAAGGTCCCATAATGAGCTGTCCTTTCTCCCATGTGAAGGGATTCTGTTTTGATTTTGATATTCAATATACAATAATTACATTTCAAAGGAGAGGTAAAATTTGTTATAATGTTGATGTACTTATTCGGTAATAGTGATAGGTATGATATGCACATTAACCTTTGAATAATGGATATGTCTATTTTATAATTAGAATATTGATTTAAAACAAAGATTAGAAACACAATGGCTGCAAACAGTTTAATAACAATGACATGAATAACAGGTATTTATTAGGAATACATTGGTGGGGTGTGATATTTTGCTCTAGAGTTTGGAATTGTTCTTCAATTTAACTTGACCTTGACCTTGATCTTGACCTTGAGTCTCTTACTTCAGCTCACCAATTTTACCAGACTACTTTGTCTTTCCTCCTTGCTTCCTCTTCCTTTCTCCTTCCCTCTTTTCTGTTTGGCCACTTGTATTTAGGAAGCACTTTAAAGTTTTTAAATAATGTGCCAAATGACCAGTGTGTGACAGTCAACTCAATATCCTCCCACCATTACTGTCTTTGCCAACTGATTTAATCCTACACATCAGTAGGATTAAATGCTCCCAGATCCCTAGACTTTCTTTGGGCCCATAACCCCTAGGTGCCCTCTGTTCCTTTGTATATGTCAATAGAATATACATTATCTGTGAATTATGTTTGTACAGATACATGAATAATACTTATTATGGTGGCCCATGGCTCAGTGGTCAAGGGAGCATAGTTTCTTCATGTTAACTTTATCCATTTATCAGTTGTGACTTCTATTTCTTGGCGTTTTTTCTCTTACCAGTTATGGGTGTCTCCAACATGGTAGATGACTACACGGGGTACTAATGATCACACTGCAGAACTGGGAAGGGTGTTAGAAAAGGTGTCCTCAAGCGATCTTATTTTCCAGATGTGGAAAATGAGACCCTGAGATGTTACATGTTGGCAGTTAAAGGTCTGCTTTCCCTAGAAAGGGAAAGGTCTTGTCGTCCAAGATGACCTATAGACACCTGTTCTCAACCAAGGACACAAGACATCACCCCAGATTTACTTTTGTGAGTGACTCCCCCAGATTCCTGCTGCAGTGGTAGAAATAGCAATTAAGCCTGTTTGTCTTTCCTCTGAATCTGAAATATAATGCTGCTTCTCAGTTATCAAAATGTGCTGATTTGAATCAGAAATGCACACTATCAAATGATAGTAATCAGTACAAAGGGATAGAAGGACAAATAAAACTCAGGGATCTTTGTGCTTTTCTTTTTGTTTAAACAAACAAGCAATCAAAGCAACAAGAAAATTAAAAAAAAAAAAAAAAGCTTATTCTTCATGAGATAACAACAGTGAGTCAATATCCTTAAACTACAGATGGAGCTAGAGGCAGAGAAGAGTCATCAGATTCTCCTTTGCAAAGCTGCATGTAGAAAACTGATTCTTGGGAGGGGGAGAGCGTCTCTGTCCTCATACTGGATCCACTCATGTAACAACAGAAATTTAAGGGCCCATTTCCCAGAGCAGCCAGTGGGGCCCAAGGATTAGTGAATGCATCACACTCTCTTGAATTTCTCTCAGATATAGGTGCCATTAAGAAGAGGGGTGGTGGGATGAAAGAGGAGATTTAATTGGTAAAAGCTTTTGGAAAAACTCCCTTTAGGAGCCAAGAATCACCTTCCATAGGCAGAAGGCAGACTGAGACTGAAGAAAAAGGCAGACCGTCCAGGCTGGTAGACAAAGACTTAGGGAGAAACTTACATTTGGTATATAAGTAGTCTGGAGAGTAGCAAGATAAGGAAGATCTCTGCACATGAAATGCACACTTGCCTCGCTTTTATTCTGTAGAATAGTTCCTCCCTTGATAAGGCAGACAGTGCCCAATTCTATACGGACTGTTTAGTTCTGTACATATATAGATAGGATAGTTTAATCTATAAAATAGGCCAAGTAAGAAATGAACAATAATGATAAATAGAACAATTATAATAATGTATTGTAAAAAAAAATAGTTATCCGAAACCTATGAATTGCTTATTTCTGTAATTTTCCACACAATGTGTTTGGAGCACAGTTGAATGCAGGTGCCTGAGACTCTGGAATTGAGGGCAGGAAGACCACTGTACCATGAAAGGTAAAAGTAAACGTGAAAAAGGAAAAAGTCATCCATGGTCACATTCTTCATCTGTTTACCTTCTACTTTAAGGGGTTGGCTGGGATCCTGGCACCTGGCTAATGTTCCTAAGGAGAAGTTGTTTGGGGCAGCAGCAGTTATCTGGATCCTCTGGTCACTGTAGGCTCTAAATCAGCAATCAAGTAACCAGACTACCTTTGAACAACAGAAACCACAATGAGCTCTTTCCCTGAGGCCGTTTGTATCTACAGCCTGGCTGGCTACCTCAACTGTCCCATCCTGGGAAGTGGCTCTGAAGCTTCTGCATCAATCTATGGGCCCCAGTGATGCTGGTGGCTCTGTCAGGCTTGGAGACCTCAGGGGAAAATGGCCTCCTTGTCTGGACAGTTCATTATTGTTTCAAAGTAGTTTGATCTCATCTCTCTCCACACTGCTAATGACAGGTGCCCGAGGAAGGCGCTTGGTTTCACAGGATGCATTTTCCCAACAGATCCAGGGCAGTGCAGCAAAAGGACTTCCCCTTGTGTGTTGAGGAAGGCCCGTTCTTATTCCCTACTCACCTCATGGAGGGAATGAAATTGCATAAGGGTTCCCACCCTGGGCCTGGTTTCTTCCCCCACCCCACCCCCATACAGTCCACATTCCCTGCAAGGGGCTGCAAAAATATTGCCCTTTTATTTCCAATCTCGAAAGATCAGGTGCACAACACCAAAAATCATGTCTCTCGATGAGTTTTTGTTTGGTTTGGCTTGTAACTTTCCAAAACCTATTCATATTGTTAGCCTGGAAGGCCTTGGGTTTCACTGGGTTCTAGAGTGGGGCAGAGTGCCATTGCTTTTTGTTGATCTTGTACAGCAGACTTCACCTTGAAGGTTTTCCACTTTTTCTGGTGTTAGGGATCCAGTAACTGTTCTTATTCATCCTCCTCAGATCTGATGTGGTGCCTTGGGCACTCCTCCTGTCGCAGATCCACCTGCTAAAGGAGAAACTTTGACCATTGAAGGGAATTTGCTGTGGCAGAGTGGAGGGTGAGAGTCCAGACGTGCTTCTGCACCTCTCTCCTGAAAGTGTCTACTTCAAATCTGTCTTCTTAAGGGTCCTGAGAGCTAGGGATGGAATTACCACCTGAATTCTGTGATAATGACCCTCCTCTATGAAGCGACAACCAAGGCAGGTGCATAGGAGGAGCTCAAGTCCTCAGTTGAGCTCCTTGGCTTCAGCCTACAGGGAAGTCCCAGAACACTTCTTTCCTACCTACTCAGGTACTTGCCGCCATTGGGCAAAGCAAGTATCATCTCTAAGCTGAAATGTGCCAGTTGATAAAATAAGGTAATGATTATATCTACCTCCTGGAATGATTATGAAGATTAAATGAGATGATCTGTAATTTTTTTTTAGATTAGTGTTTATTTCAAAGCAAGAGTTTGATCACTTTGGTTATAACTGTGTAAGCTAAAGAGCTATTGATTTCATGGCATGCGGAATTGTACATAGCCCAGGGCGGTGGCACGTACCTGTGTTTGGGGCAGCAGCAGTTATCCCAGTGGCATGGGAGGCTGAGGCAAGAGGATTGCACATTCAAGGTCAGCCTTGAAACTCTGCAAGACCCTGTTTCAAAATTAAAAACATTAAAAGTTAGGGATGTGGCTCAGTGGGTAAGTGCCCCTAGTACCAAAAAAAATCCCTAGTACCCCTCCACCCCCCAAAAAAGTAAAGAAGAGTTGTAAGTAACTGAAATCTGAGAAATAATTTGATTGAAAGAACAGAGGATACTCAAGGGGACTAAGGGAAGAATGTCACAGAAAATAGAGAGCAATGAAAAACAGGAACGCAACTTTATCTGAACATGTCTCACTCAGAACCCATCAATCAAGAGCAAAACCAGAGACAAGATGTGAGTTCACATTTTTCAATCCAGCACAATCTCATCTCATCTTGCTTATTTTTGTGTCATGACCTCAAAATTATTGCATTTTCCTGTTTGGGGGACAGTTATCCTGGGGTACAATTCTAATCTTGATTTATTTTCAAAAGACCATGAATTTATAGGCCCTTCATCCACGTATCATATGGATAGTCAGTGACTACAAGGGGAATCTTCTCTTTGTTGGAAAAAATCTTAATGGGGTTTAATTCCTTAGCTCAAATTTCTTTTCTATAAGAGAACTCCCCTCCAAAACAAGTGACTCTCTCAATTTAAAAATATTGACTAGAGAGATGAGTGCTTAAATGTTTTCAATATAGAAAAAAATAGTTTCTAGTATACTTTATAATGCTCAGAAATCAAGCAAAGTAAATTCCTAAAGTCAGTGTGTTGGTGTTGTCTAAGTTTGATGCAAATATATTTTATCCACAAATAAACCAGTTGATTTCTTGTAGTTTTTAATTTGCTTTCCTGAGTAAACTCTGTCAAATATCTTATTTCTAAATCCTCCTGAGGAAACCCAGCAGTGCATACAGACGGCTGCCATTGAGGACACCAGTCACTGCTAACTGTTAATGGGGCCATAAGTCAAAGGGAATAAAAGAGATGCCTGAAAAATGCTTGTCCCTCCTGTAATTAGCAAGTGATGTGCCCTTTCATCTGTGCACAGTAATTGGCTTGATACATTCATTTTCTTTCTGAGACTCTAATGAGCTGCTAAGCCAGGGGTGCTCCATCCAGTAAGTATGGCTGGTTAGAAATCAAACTTTCCTTTTGCCTTTTCCATAACCTTTTTCAAGTTAGCATTTATTCCACAAAGTAACTAAGACCTTGTAACTAAACCAAGAGGGTCCACACTGCCCATTTCCAGACACAGACATGCAGATCTTAAATCGGGATAATGGTCCTAAAGCCAAGGTGTTCACTAAGACACACTTTGAAATAAGTCTTGAATAAGATAGTCATAGCCAACACATTTTAAGTCCTTTCTAATGCCAGCCACTATTCAAAATGCTTTATACTTGAAAATGCCAGAATCGCCACATCTTAAAAGACAGGAGACAGATTGGGAAGGTGGGGTGTTAAGGAACAAGTGCAATATCTCTCTGTTCCCAGGAAGACCTTGGACACCAGATCTGTCTTGGTGGACACCTTCCAACCTGCACCTCTTCCCTGAGTAGAACTGGGAATTTAATAAGTGACTTGGTTCCACATGGTGAGAGCATTCTTACTTGTGAGTTCTTCTTCTCCAGTAGGAAGAAACAGGCAAGCTCCATTGTGCTCAAAGAGAACTTTGCCTTAAAAGGAATAAATTAATACTATGAATGCTGTCATTCTGAAAACCTGAAAATATGGCTTATTAGATCATGAGCAAGATTGACATTGTGAGTCATTAAATTTTTTTTTGAGAACCCATCAAATATTTTGTGTCTGATTTTGAAATTGAGTTTCTTTTTGAATTTCATTCAGCTGTCTCTTTCAAAGAAATTTGTCCTTAGTTACCAAATGAACCCCTGACCTGACAAGCTCCAAACTCTAGGATGTTCTAGAGCACCAAAGTGTGTTAGGTACCTATGGTGGAAATATAAACCAGCAATCCCACTGGAAGGGTGGGAGGGGACAGAGAATGCTTTGCCTCTGGAAGCATTTGTGTGCTATTTTTTTTTTTTAAAGAATTTATGTTCCTGGTAAGCGCTATATCACTAATTGAAAACATACACTCAAAAAAATTAAAGCAAATTTGAAGATCTTAATTGGCTTATATTTGTGATTCTGTATTCGGCAGCACTTCATTCTATAAAATAGAACAAATGTTCAATAAGCCAAGCAGGGGAGGCTGGCTTTGTAGACAGAAAAGAGCCAAGGAAAGAGGATCGGTCATTTCAAAGTTACTTTCCTTATAGAAGTGAAAGTAGAGGGGATTTCTTATTGTGCCAGCTAAACCAGCCTTTCGGGGGACCTCGATATCAGCTCTTTCTTGATTTCTCCAGAAGTGAGATAAACAACTGAGTTTCGGCTTGGTGACGTGGAGTGTCAGAATGAGTCACTGAATCCACTTGGGCTGGGTCTAATGTGCCTATTGTGGGAGCTCAGTTCCAAACCAATGTTCTCCTATGTTCTCAGAACTTTACTAAGAAGTCTTTTTATATGCTTTAAAAATGTAATTCTCATAACATTCTTATGAAATAGTTACTATGGTTATCATAGCCATTTTACAGATGAGGAAATTCCAGTCTCAGAAAAGTTTTTAACAAGGACACACAACTATTAAATGGCAATACCTTTTAGATCTGTGGACTCCAGGGCCTCAATACTATCCATTAAGCTGTAGTAGTACCTTCATGGCTATGCTAAAGAAAATACCGAGTAACTTTAAAAAATATACATACATAGTCTTGGCACCATCATTTGAACTCTAAACATCACTAAATTGGGTACTATTTTAGGCCTTGTTTTTCTAATGCTAATACTGCCCCGAAGTTCCTAATGCTTTTACCTCATGTTGGGGTCCTCTTTGAAGCTAATGGTGGCCCTGGCCAATCATTCATTTAGGAGCCTTCATCTATAATTAAGTATAGAGAATGGAGAACATGAGATATCCTCCCATTGATTTTTAATGTTTCCATATTTTTATTCCCACTGGATTTTACCTCTGGGCCATGGAAAACTGTTAGAAATCAAGTCAGTTTGTAACTTTTAATAAGGGGGTCACCAACAATGTAGCCCTGGGTCAGCTTGAAAGGAAGGAAGGCTTCACCGTGTTTCATTTATTTTGTTTCCTTACCGGAATTTCTGGGTAACTAAGAGCAAGTGAAACTGACCCTGGGTTTCGCTGGTGTACTGTTTCCCTCAGAAAGGCTGCCCTTGTTTTGAATTTGAACTTGCCCTGGGCCTGGTTCAGGAGGCAGCTCTGTTATCTAACTATGCCATCTCTAAGGGGGCTGAGTGCACAGAGGGGAGGGAGGATGTTGGTGAAGTCCCAAATGCACAAGTTAAACAACTATTCAGAAAGAGAAAAAGAGAATCAGTGTTTTGTCTTCCAAAAAGGAATCTTCTTAAAGGGGGGTAACAAAAGGATATGTCCTCACCCAGGAACACGCCCACCTGTAGGAGAGTCACAGAACCACCACAGAACCCAGTGATAAAAACCAGCAGCCTAAGAGCACAGGGTTTAGCAAACAATGCTTGCTGTACCGCACCCACACCCCTGGAGCTGAAGTTCAAGTTCTGAATGTAGACAATGCAGCTGGTATTTTTGCAGTTTCACTCCACAACACGTGGAGTTTCAGGCAGCTCTCTGGATAAATATTACAAGAAAGAAATTGAAAATTTGAAAGGTAAACCACATCCCTGGTCTACTGGGTAATTAAATTCTTCCAGGAAGAATGAGCATAAAATAAGTTATTTGTGTGTAACTCCCAAGAGGGTTAGTTCCACAGTGACTTGAGGTGGTAAGATGAATTTGTTAGAGAAGAAAAGGTAAATTGTGGTTAACACCAAACCTTTCCTGGTATTTAGAATAGTTCAGGAAACGTTCATACATCAGAACATAATTCCGCATTTGAGACATTCTTTGCAAGTCTTAGTGTATTTCCCTGTGTTCTCATGTAGATTATAACTCTTCAAATGCCATTTATAAAGAAAGCCCTGGAAAAATGTTTCTGCAAAAATGTGTCCTAGGAAGTCCTTAGATGTGAGTATCTTAGATCAATGGTTAAATCTTGGGTTATTGTTTCAGGGTCCATACTTGCAGGTGTCTAAATTCCTTCCAGCATTAGAGTAAGATGTTCATCTTGCAAGGTCATCTTCTCACCACGGGATGATGCAGCCTCCTCCTTCAGAAGAGTGAAATATAAGAATTCAGAGTTGGAAGGTAAAGATTGGGGCACGAGTTCCATCCCCTGTTAGTTGTGTGATACTGACCAAGCCCATTATGAAAGGGTTTGAGGAGGAAGGACAAATGATTGAGAGCTGAAGTACAGAGTCCGGGAGGCCTGAATTTGAATGCTACTGTGGCTTTGTAAAACTATACTTGGGCCACCGGTTCAGTTCTTCCAAGCAGCTGGCACAGTTTAGCATAGAGTTTAGTGCACGAGGAATTTCAGTTCTAACTGTAGTGATGGTTTTAGATAGCTTGTGGTCAGAGGAGTGTTAAAGAAAAAAATTGTTCAGTGACACTTGTTAACACATGACAAGTAAGACTTTGCTCAGGACCACACTGGTCGGAATAGAGGCCATTGTAATGGGTTGTTGGAGTGAGGAGAGAGAGATGGGGCTCAACTCAGAACATAGCCTGGGCAAGTGACAATGACTAGCCCAGAGCAGGGAGGGTGTCAGTGGATGGCAAATCACTGAGAAGAGCTTCAGAGGTCAGGGGGATTCTGGTGAACCTCATCTAATGGGATTCCTGCAGAACACAGACCTGGTGGCCAGACACCACCTGGGGGATAGTACAGGATGAGACCCAATGAGGCATCAAAGGTGATCAGGTATCAAGGATAGGAGGTTCTTGTTCAGCTCACTTAGAGGGGTTCTTTGCTATAACAGATTTTACAAGGTAGTGCACAGATGGGCCTATGAGAAGATTCAGGAACCTGACTAACGTATGGTCAGGCAAAGAATCAGGGATGGGCTGTAGGAGTCAGACTGCCTAGATCCTGTGAAAAGATATGGAAAATAAAAATAAAATCATGACTCTCAAAGACACAGTGAACATTTGTCAAACGATCATATTCGTCTCAATAAATGAACTCATTAATTAATGAAGGAACTAATATGACATTTTAACCAGTTTGAAGAAAGACTCAAGATACCACATATTTATAGGCAGTCAGGAATACTAAAAGGGACTTAAAAATAGATGAAAAACAAGTTTTTTTAAAATTGTCTCTATTTCAATTTGTCATTTTCTATAACTTACAGTCTTTATTATCTGAAGACACCAAAATAATGCAGATAATGCAAATCTAAAACAACAGTGGCTGGAGAAGATTAAAATCAACATAGAAGTGGAAGAAGTTGAAATTTTTGGTGTTGTAAAATCAATAAAGTTGAGTAAGTTGAAATTTTTGTGTTGTAATGCTCTGAACTCAGATTTCACTTTTGTGGGTGGAGAGTGTGGTTCAGTGGTAGCCTGCTTAGTGTAACTGTGACCCTTAGTTTGATCCCCAGAACTGCAAAATCAACAGACAGAAAACTAAATTTCACATTTGCTTAAATTGATAGGAAATACTTCCACCCCAGGAAGCTCTAATTCCTCTGGCAAAGAGATAAGCAGTATCCAGATCTTTGCCTAGTGTTCAAAATATTCATCTCATTCAAAATTGTTTCCATCTTGTGCTTTCAATAGCTCAAAGAAGGCACTTAATATGCTGATGCAGCTGATTCTCATAAGTGGCCTTCATTGACTTATGACTAACTTTGTCAATACGTCTCTCATTTCACTTGTCTGGCTAGAATCTTTTCCTATCCCATGAATCTTATTTATTTATTTATTTTGCACAGACTCCACTTTATTTTTTTATTAATTTATTTTATTTTTTTAAAATTAGTTATACATGACAGTAGAGTGCATTTATGTACTTTGATATATCATACCTAGATGGGATATAATTTCTCATTTTTCTGAGTACACATGTTGTAGAATCATACTGGCCATGCATTTTTAAAAATATTTTTTAATTGTAGAGGGACACATAATATCTTTGTTTATTAAATTTTTTTATATGGTGCTGAGGATCCAACCCGTGCCTCAAACATGTTAGGCAAACCCTCTGTCACCGAGCTACAGTCCCAGCCCTGAATTTTCTTTATGTTTACTTTCAAGCTACTCCTGACATTTGCAAAGATATTCTAAAATCAACTCACAAAGTTTTTCCTCTTTATTATTCAGACTGTTCATTCTGATGGATTGGAAATAGAGTTAGTTTGGGAGATTTCATTGGCATGGAATTAAATTACAGCTCTTTAACGTACAGACTCTTTGGCAAGTTAGTTACCATTCTTTTTCCCCCTTATTGATCTTTACTGATTTAATTTAAAATATTGACAATAATATGACCTATGAAGTAAAAAATAGACAATTCATGTGAAACCCTAGGAAAGGCATCTATTGAATTCTAAAATTTAAAAAGTTCCCTTTATATTTATAGGGCGTGTGTGTGCTTGAGAAAGACAGAGTACCTAAGGCTCTGACAATGTTTTCTTTGTGCAACTAGTTCACAGAACTCTGTGCTCTTCTTTGAATGAGAGTTCTGTTCATTTCCCTTTGCACTCCTGTGATTGGGTGTGGAATACATAGGAAAGGCAAGTACTCACCATTGACGCCACACCTCTAATAACAAAGTGCTATTTCATTATTGAAAACATTAAAAAAAAACTGAATCAGTATTGTTCTGATGATCTTTGATACCTTTCAATT